CTACCTCTTACTAAACTCTAACAATCTTTGAGTAAGAGGAAGTAGTAGGATTTTATAGTACCCCGGGATGGATATCTTGCCTTGTGTCTCAAGAAGACTCCGATTTTATCAAGCTCACTTGAAGACCTGGAGATCCACTATGAAGAGATTTACTACTACAAGGAGCAAGAGCTAGGGATTGTTCGATCTTCCATCGAATCACGCTTCGAAAGTATGACTTTTTAACTCTTGTATGCTCTCTTTAATATAAGGATCATGTTAGATTTAAATATGATGGTCCTAGCTTATTTTTCATGCTCTCTACATGCTTAGTAGTATTATACATACAATCTTCTGTTGTGTATTTTGCATGTATTTAGCACGAATTTCCAACATTTTGATGCTGGGATTCGCATTATTTCACATTAGGGGGTGTTTGGTTGCATAATTTTATAGAAATGTTTTCTCAAAAGGCTTGACAATGGTATTTCTGTAATTAATTTTTTTTTTACAGATTTCTGTAAACTGTGTTTGGTTCAAAAAATTTATAAAAATGTTTTTATTAAAGTACAGAAAAATACCTCATTTTATAGAAATTAATTTTCTCTCAAAATGAGCGAAAATCACCTAGAAATCTGACATCCCAATATTAAAATTGTTGGCCTTCTTGTTTTGATGATGTTTAACAAACAATTTATCACTAATGTTGTTTGTCTAGTATTTGTGTTTTCCTATGTATTGTAGACAAACAACGTAGTTGGAGGATGGATGGAATAGAGCTTCAACGATCATATCCAAAGGAGGTTGGCAGAATGTCGGTGAAGCCTTGCAATTCAAAGTTAAAGATCAAGTTCAAGCTTCATCTGCGAGATTACCAAGTAGAGCTTATTGAAGACCAATCAAGCTTGGGTAATTTAGTTTAGGATTTATATTATGTGTGTTAGATACTCTAAGCTCAATATAATATACACACACGTATTTGGTTTCTATGTATATATATAGTTATATATATACATGCATGGTTTTAGGTTTTCATGTTTTGGACATACTTGCAAAATACATGAGTTTTCACAAATGGAAATTCAATTTGAGAAATTCTTTTTCTAACATGTTTGTTTTCATGTTTATAAACATTTCGTAAAGTTTTATCAAGTTTGGAATTGATTTGTTATGTTTAATGGAATTTACAAAATCATGTTTTTCGTTCGTGCATGTTCGTGCATGTTTTACAAAATAGATGAGTTTTAATAAATGGGAAGTGATATTCAAGTAATTCTTTCTTTGACATGTTTATATACATGTTTAAAAACTTTTCTCAAAATTTTACTATTTTTAGAGTTGATTTACTGTGCCCAATTGATTTTACAAAATCGTATATGTTAACAGTTTTTTAGAAACTGTAAATTTGTGTTCAAATATTAATTTCTCTCAACTGAGAAAATATTTTTCAGAAATTCTTTCTCTGACATGTTATTCTACATGTCTAGAACATTCCCACAGAATTTCATAATTTTTGGAGTTCATTTACTATTTTAAATTGATTTTACAATATAGCTGCGCACTGCTACAGTAACTCCGGTCGACCGGACCGGTCGACCGGAAATGTCTCTGGACGTTTCTCAGCTTTGCATATGCCTCTCGGTCGACCGTACCGGTCGATCGAAATACTGTAGCAGCCGACCGTTGCTACAGTAACGGCTAGTTCTGTTTTTTTGTTTATTTTAATGTTTTGGAGGTGTTTTTCTGATTTTAATTGAGTTTAGTTTTGATTTTGATTTCACTCATTGTTTACACACACCCATTTGAGCTTATTGTATTTGCATTCATAATATATTAGGGTTGTGAGAGTTGTAACATTGAGTGTGGGCTTTTATTGTGTTCTCATCCATATTAGAGAACAATTTATATTTGTTACATTGTGAGATTGTTAGGTTTTCGGTGAGCTAGAAACCGAGTGTGTTGTGAAGTTTTCGGTGAACTAGAAAACCGATTGTGAGGAGTGACGTTGATCGGTGCGCGTTGAAAACCGATACTGTGAGGTGTAAACGTTATTCGGGTGAACGTAGAAAACCCGGTTGTGATAGTGGATTTCTCCCCGGGAGTGGGGAGCGGATACGTAGGACGGAAGGTCCGAACTCTGTGATCATATTACTTGTTTGAGTTTGTCTTTGGCGTATTTGTTTTTGCATTTATCTTATATCGCCAATTGTGCATTACTCATTTATTTCATCCACTATCTTGTTTAGATTATTTACCCTTGTGTTGTTTATATATCCTTGCATATATCTCTATCATATAGGATATATCTCATTGTTCATATTGCTTATCCTAGTTTATATTCTTGTTGTATTTCATACTTGCTAGGATAACTTGTTAATATATTTTAATTGGCATTTAATCGGATTAGATTAGCATAAGACCCTAATCACCCCCCTCTAGGGTCTAACAAAAATAATAAATCACATTTCCCGTACCCATTTTCCCACCGGATTCGTTTTCTCACGCTGATGAGAGGGTGCAAATCTTAGGGTTTTGCCGACTTCTTCCAGCCCCCAAATCCAACGAGTCTGAGGTCCTTTGCACCTTTTATCGCTCCCATCTTGTTCCCTCTCATTTATGTTCGGCCATCGCCCCCAAATCGAGTGTTCTCTCCTCCCTCGCACTTATATCTAGGGTTTTCTCAACCATCACCCCTAAATCTGAGTCACCACCCTCTTCTCTCTCATGGTTCTCATGAATCTCACGCTAGGGTTTCTGAACTCAATGCTCTGAAAGGTAATGGTCCTCTTTTTTCAGCTAATTATTATACAATCATTTAGCATTTTCTATTAACTGGTTAAGAGGGTTCGAAGAAAAAACAAATTATCTAGATGAACTCCATTACAAATTATCTTGAAGAAAAAAAAACAAATTATCTGGTTCAAAGCTAATTAATATACAGCCATTCAGCTAATTAATATACAGTCATTCAGCTAAAAAACAAATTATCTGGTTCAAAGAAAAAAACAAATTATGTTGATTCGAGCTTGTTTAGCTCTCTATTATTGGGTTTTTTGGTTGATATTTGGTTGATATTTGTGCTCGTTGTCGAGCTTTGGGGTTGTTTTTCTAGCTACTATGCTGATTCGAGCTTGTTTAGCTCTCTATTGTTGGGTTTGGGTTGTTTTTTTGGTTGTTGTCAAGCTGTTAGGGCTACCTTATTGTTACTATGATGATTCGAGCTTGTTTAGCTCTATATTGTTGGATTTTTGGTTGATATTTGTGCTCGTTGTCGAGCTGTAGGGGCTGTTTTTACAGTTACTATGCTGATTCAAGCTTGTTTAGCTTTATATTGTTGGGTTTTTTGGTTGATATTTGTTCACTCAATCAAGCTGTTGGGGCTGTTTTTTTGTTATTATGCTGCTTCGAGCTTGTTTAGCTCTATCTTCACATAATATTTATTATGTTCAAATTTCTGTCTGTTTGTGGTGTTTTCGTTCCGTTTGGAGCTCAGATTGAGCTTTTGGCGATGATGATGGTCAACTAAATAAGATTGCAAACTAATTTACAATGTTCATAATAAGATAATGCGTTCTTTACTACGTTATTAGAATGCAATCTACGTGAACTTGTACGTTTCAGTTGAGGCCATCAATTTTGATAAAAGACCAATAGCTGAGCCAAATTGTGAAAATTTTGTGTTCATGGATAGTTGAGGATAGCAATTTTGATAAAAGACCAATAGCTGAGCCAAATTGTGAAAATTTTGTGTTCATGGATAGTTGAGGATAGAAGGATTTTATAAGATTTGATAATGTGAACAAATTGTGAAAATTTTGTGTTCATGGATAGTTGAGGATAGAAGGATTTTATAAGATTTGATAATGTGAAGCTAGCTGTTAAACTAGCCGTTATAAAGTGATAAATATGGTAGTTGACACTTTTCTATAAATTTAGCATATGTAAGTATGTAACCAAACAAAAAAAAAAGGAAAAGTTGCTATTTCTATAAAGTTATGTGCCCATTTTCTTGTTTTGAACCAAACAAGCAAAATACAGAAAATAAGAAAATTTGTAATTTTTGACTTCTCAAAAATTTTCCTATAATCTTTTTAAAAAATACAAGGAATTCTAAAAGTTGGGTGTTTTCATTTTTTTATAATTTATAGAAATTGAACCAAACACACCTTAGCAGCAAGCAAAAATGAGTAAACGACTATCTAGACATCTGTACGACTAAATTTGGATTCCTCACGTGTTCGCATCAATTAAAGCACACGATAGAAAAGTAGTGCATCAACTCTTAGCAGACTTAGTTATAACCATCAGTAAAATCAAGAAGAGAAAAAAGCCCAACTGCTTGAAGAGTTGAAGGAGAAGAGTTAGGAGCGTGTTCACCCATGTTATTTAATGGGTTAATTTCACATAACCACACTGAACTTTGGGGATTTTCACATTAACCCCTAAACTTTGTTTCTCCCATGTAATCCTTCTAAACTTTAGGGTGTCTCAAAATCTCCTTTCAACATTTTCTTACCAGACCTTGCTATCTACAATTTACAAACAATTAAAATATCCTTGAGAGAGCAAAAAATTCTCAAATTGTGTCGTTTGTCATTTAAAGGGAATGTATCTGTCTTTTATAAATTTTGTGTATTTCCTCTCAATTAAATTTAGTTATTTTCAAATTATATGTAGGGTGTCCAGTGAGAAAAGATTAAAGTGTGTGTGGGTGGGGTTGGGGGGTGGGTTGAGACACCCGAAGTGCTGGTGGTTATGTGAAATCAACCCTACAAGTTTGGTCCATTGTGAGACGATAAACTTTTAAAATTAATGTTATGTAGCACAAAAAGTTTTGTCGAATAACTCCCAATTTGAAATTCTGACAGCTCTACATTGTTCGCTATCTCACTATATTACATTCAATTAAACTCTGAAAAAAAAAAGCAGACTTTTCAGTTGCACGCTCATCAGTGGTTTGCAATGTTAGCAACAAAATGGACAGCAAATTAAAAATGTCAACCAGAAAGAGACAGTAAAAGAAAAAAAAAGAAATGAAAGCTCACTGATGCAGCCATATAATGTAAGTATATGACTTACAAAATGAGAAACAATATTTCTAAGCTCATGATGAAAATTCTTCTTTTGATCTTGCATGCAACTCCAAAAGTACAATAGCTAATGTAATGTCTAACATGAAGGGGGCCCCTCTAGCTTTCAAAACCCTAAACCCTTCTCTGCCTGCACATTACTAAGCTCAGATATACAAAACCTATGCGCATGCTCTTGCATTATTGCCGTCCTTAAAGAGGAAATCTCTTTTCAGTGATTAATTCAGAGAGAGAGAATACAGGCTTCACATGACTTTCAATGGATCCTTGTCGCACTTTAGACCTTTTTTGGCCCACTGTTGTTTGAATTCATTTCATCCTCTCTAAAAAATACCCACCTCCTTGATCCAACTCTTTCTTGCAATGTATACTCTTGCGAGGCCTGTTCTCAACAAAGAAAATAACAACAAAATAAAATTTAAGAAACAGTGGAAGAGAAATTAAAAGAAGACTGCATACTCTTGTGAGGCCTGTTCTCAACAAAGAAAATAACAATAAAATAAAATTTAATAAACAAATGTACAAGAGATAATTAAAATAAGCATATATAATTAAAAAAAAGGGAATAGTATGCACGTTTGACCATAATTTTGACTGATATGTTACTGATGTTGATCTTAACTGATGTGTTGCTATAGATGTACAAGAGATAATTAAAATAAGCATATATAATTAAAAAAAAGGGAATAGCATGCACGTTTGACCATAATTTTGACTGATGTGTTAATGATGTTGATCTTAACTGATGTGTTGCTATAGACGTTAGAGGTTTAAGACATTCCTTATGATTTGATATATTGATGATCTGGACTGTAGTGGTTTGGATGTGATATTTCATGGATACACCAACCATCATTATAAACGGTTACACGAGCTCCCCTTCACTATTCACATGTAATTAGCACGAAAAGTATTTCGATCATGAGCTTACTTGAGAGTTGAGGCTCCGAGAGCGTTCGCAAGGCATTGCATGAGATTGACTTGAGCTCTTAGATGGATGACATAGTCCAGAGTCTCCCCCAGTAGAGAGAGGCTATTCAAGGACTCACCCCCTGGTATAATTCTTTTGAGCACTTGTGTTCTCTTCTTCACAATTCTCCTAGCTACAATGCTTGCGTCCGCATTCTTCTTCCTCGACCGGTACCGGAGGCTCTTTCCTAGGATCTTCTTGCTTGTAGGGATCTTCCACTTATTAATGGGGGCGACGTTCTTCTCATGATCAAAGGCGTTATTGTCGGTGGTGTGCTTTTCTTGCTTTGAGAGGTTTGTGATGAGGGCATTGCTCCACTTGGTGTGGCCTCTAGCAAGAGCCATGGCGGCGTCAGCGGAGAGCTTGATCGCCCTCTTCCTCTCTTGGATGCTCATGCTCTTGGAATGGACACCATCTAGCTTGAGACCATTGATCATGAGCTTGAGGAAGGACTTGTTGAATTTGTTTGTGGCTTGCATGGTTGAGAATGTGGAGAGAATTTGGTGGAAAACCCAAATGCTTCTTGTGGTTTTAGAGAGAGAGAGAGAGAGAGAGAGAGTTGGGAGATATATGATGTTGGTTTGGCTCTTTAAAAGCACACCATGTGGCCTTATATTTGCTTAAACTACACCATCTTGTTTTTATTTTTATTTTTTTTTTAAATTAAATTCTTCTTCAAGTAGGTATAACTATATGCAGCGCTGTGGGTAGACAAGGAGAGAGAGGAAGAGAGCATGACATTTTGACTTGGTGTACGGGAAGGAGAGATCACCGAGAGTGAAGGCAGGAGGCTTGCATGTGCAACTGTAAACTGAGATCATGTCATCTAATCTATAATTGTCTCAAAAGCGCTATCAAGCTAGGGATCGGATACCAAGGGAAAAATAAAGAGTGGAGCTGATAGTTCCAAAGAGAAATGAAATTACATAATTTTTCAGTGAGTAGATCGAATATGGGGGAAAAGTAATTTATTTTGGGGATCATTGGAGAGGAGAAGGGGAGATGTGGGCCATTGGCGGTAGAGACACACCACATGCATGCACATGGTGCCCACAACCCTACCACCCACAAAACAATACCCAAATAGGTCTCAATATTACAAGCTAGTGGTGCGTGTGTGTGCGCAAGTGTGAAATCTGCAACTTTTATGAACACACGAAAAGTAGGATAGCGGAAGGGATTTTAGGTATATTGGTATAACATACGCCTACGTAGACTAGACTGTGTTAGGGAACTTTTGAAAAACTAGGCCAAGATCGGTCTTAGCTCAGGTTTATTCTAAACCAAGCTGCAGTTAGATCAGGAGAAGGTGGTCCAAAATATAACCTATTTGAAAATTTATTTTCGGTTTAAGGAAAGCCGGGTCAGTTCTGACCCAGCCTTTAGCAAACAAGAAATAGCTTTAAATTGGGTCAGGTTCGGAGCCTATTCATTTTCAGGGGTTACCAAACACAACTTAGAGTTCTTTTAGTTGCATCAAAATTATGAAATTACATTAATGATTGAGAGTTGTAACTGTATACTCAGTACCCTTAAACTTCTAATGAGTCGAAATTTAGCTCACACATCAATTTTTTTCTTCTAAATATGCTATATATTCACGATTGATGGAATTTGACCCAGCAGGTTGGACTAATATCATCTTCTCTTACACTACATCAAAACTTTGAAATTACCGCAAGTATAGAAGATTATTACGTACTTTCTACTCTAAATATAGCTTAAATCCAATATATATAGGCTGGATGTTGGTGATGGTGTTTTAAGGCATTTTTCCCCTAATAATTTTCTCTCTTTTTTTTTGCTCTCCATAATTGGGGTAGTGTGAAAAGTAGATCGGCAGGATCCGGGAAATATGGTTAGGGAAATGGGTGGGTCTACTCCCTCCCTTTTCATCTACCTCCCGGTGGTCTTTGTACACTAGAGAATAATAAAATGTAATAGCTCCATGGAGTCCATATGGGCGTTTTTATATCTTTAGACCTTAACATGAGCCCCTTGGCTCTTGCATCTATATATATATATATGTCATGTTCTCAATTCTCATATATTTGATTGAGCTTTACTTTTCTTAGCTGGCTTAATTAGCCTTAGTTATATATGAACCAAACAAAACCTTGGTCAGACAAACTTAATTGACACTCATATTCTAGTCGATGCATTAGGATTATGATGAGAGAAAAACTGAGTTATTGCTTCG